ATCCAGGGGGAGGATATTGTACACTCCTTTTTCCTCTTGCTGCTGTTAGCGGTGTTACCTGAATGCCACAACCTGATCTGACTTGCTGTGTCTCGTGGTCAGCAAACAGCGTTCCGACCCTGTCAAAGGGGCCTGCGTCCTTGTGAGGATTTGTCCATCTCTGGACAAAACACGATGGTGCCATTTCCACAAGAGTTGAGCCTCTTGCACTCGAGGATAAGTGACTTCAGTGTCAAGTAATGACACGTGAGCTACACTGTTCTTGAAGAGTGCTGAAAGGAGTGCTCTGTGATCGTGGTTTCCAGTCTGATTTGAAGGAGTGCCTCATAAAAACCGTCACCTTTTGGTGAAGGCTGTAGAAGGAGCCCTTGGGCAGTGCCAGCTGGGGTGTTCGGGGCTTTCCTGGGCCCAGGCTGGAATTGCTGGTGCCGCTGGGACCAGCGACTGCCACACTGGGCAGGCCCGAGGGCTGGCCTCGAGCTGTAACCCCCAGGGCCTGGCCTCGGGCAGGTACCTCCTGCTTCAGCTGCTTTTGGGGTGGCTGGCGAGGAGGAGAGTGTGATTCTCCTTTAGCAATGAAACACCAAGACGGGGCTTTAAATCCCCGTGGGGCTGCTGATTTGTGCCCACGGCAGCTTGCTGTCTCTGAAGGCACGTTTTGGGGGTGCAGCAAACCCCCCGTCCCCCGGGTGTCCGACTGGAGCGTCTCCCGGTGTCCAGGGTCTGTCTCAGCCCGCGGGGGTGTCTGTCCCTTTAAGAGCCGCGCGGGACGGCAGCGCGGCGCGTGCGGAGCGGCGGCCGTTGGGCCGTTGGGCGCGAGGCGAGGCGGAGCGGCGGCAGGGGCTCCCCGGGACGGCGGCGGGACTCGCTCCTTCGTGGGCTCCTGGGCAGCGCCTGGAGCCTTGTTCCGAGCGGGCGGGCGAGGCGGCGCCGGCCGGGCGGGCTGAGAGGGGCCCCGGCAGAGCAGGAGATCGCGTGGGCCGGCGGAGGCGGGGGGTGCCGCGGGCCGGGCCGGGCGCTGAGGAGACCCTTGTGCCCCTGCAGGGAGCGGCGGAGGCGAGAGCGGCAGGAGCCGGGAAGGCGGCGGGAGAGCGGGGAAGGCCGGGCCGCCGCGGTGGTGAGTGCGGGGAGTGCTGGGGCGGGCCCGGGGAATCCGGGTTTGTGGCGCCGGCCCCTCAGTTCGGGGGCGGCAGGGACCCCGCGGGGGGCGGGAGGGGCTGTGCTCGCCGCTGCCGCCGGAGTTGGGACCGCTTGGGGCGTTTGAGGGGCCGTTTTTCAGCCATCGGGGTCGGGAGGGGCTTTGCTGTTGCTTGTGGGGTGCTCTGGATACCCGTGCCCCTGGCTGCGGCGTGTTCTGAGGAGGAGCCGGACCTGCGCCCTTCTCTGAGGGAATTTGCCTTTCTCTGTAGGCTGGGAAACCCCAGAGCAGTTTCCAGGGTAGGTACCGAAAACGCTCACCAAGCCCCATTCTGAGAAAAAGCAAGCACGGAGCACGAGAATCCCTGTTGCCCTGCATAGCGTTCCGGGCAGCGGGCTCAGGTGGGGTCCTGGCCACGGCGATGGTTCCTGGGCCTTGTCTGAGAGGTGCAGCTGAGGCGTCGTCTCCTTGCTGAGTAGAGACGCTCGCCTGCGTCTGCCGACGAGGGGGTTTGCTTATGGGGGTCCTGCAGGCCTTTCCTGCGGGCTTTCCCCAGACCGGGGCAGAATATCTGCCCTTAGTTCAGGTCTTTGCCTCACCTAAAGCCCAGGTGCCTGTTTGGGGCACTCTGGCAGCCCCGGACAGTGAAGCGGGGCCTTTGGGGTTGCCCAGGGACTCTGAGACACTGTGGGGTGAGAACTGCCAGCTGAAGGGCTGCTTGTGGCCAGTGACTGAACAGGAAGCTGCAGGCTCCTTGATAAAGAGATCTCCTTTTTGGCTAAGTGAAGTGAACTCTTTTATCTGCAAAATACTGGGTCAAGTGCTGGCAGTTGTCTGTAGGAAGGCCTTACACTGATAGAGCTTAAGACCAAAGTGTTATGCTTGGGGGATTTCAAAAGAGCAAGGCATAGTGAAACTGGGAGCTTGTCTGTACCTGCGTGGTGAGCTCCTCTGCCTCAACACCTTTCATGTGTCTGGTTTCAGAGTCTGTGGATGACCTGCCTGACGACCTCCTTTTCTCCTTCTCTGCCTGCAAGGAGGCCCCTCCAGAGAGGTTGCCACCCCACAGGGCCATGAGGGGACTGACTGTGTGTCCCGGGATGTGCTTTTAGGGAAGGGGTCTGCCACCAGAGAAGTGACCCTTGGCCAGGGTGGGAAAAGGACATCTCTGCAGGACCTTGTCTGTGAGAGCTGTGGCCTCTCTTTGCAGGAGAGTCTGGACCTGCGATGGAGAAGAAGCCCCTGTCGTCCTTCGCTGCTTCCCGACAGTACAGGAAATTTAACTTTGAAGGTAGGATGTCACTTCCCTTCAGCACGTGGTTGTGTGGGGGCAGCTGAGGACTCTGTCCTTGCTCTTTGCCCGTAGCTTGCCTCTTCTGTCACCCAAAGGCTCGGCTGGTTAATGACATAGAGCATCCTTCACCCCTGCGATGCCCGTGCCAACCTCATCCCTTAGAGGTGACCAAAGGAAGAAAAGAAAAAAGACTGCTTGGTGTTGGAGGCCCTCCCCAGGGTGGGGCTGGGAGAGGATTCCTAAGGGCGTTTGCTTTTTCAGCCCTGCTTTGGTTTTTAATGCCTGTCTGTAGCACTGGGAGACCCTTGTGTTGTGGAGGGGGGGATTCTGTCCCCCTTCCCCAGATGGGAGCCGGTTTCCTGGCACAGCTGAGATCTGGCTATCAGAGCCCGTGCTTTACCTGAGGTCAGCATCTGTTCCAATCACTAATTGGCTTGGGGTGATGGAGGTGGGCTTCCTCCTCCCCTTTGTTATTGCCTAAAGAGTAGTCGAGCGTTAAAGCACCCCAATGCTGAGATACTCACAAGTGTCCCAGATCTGTGCAGAGTCTGCATTCGTGGCTTTGGGCAGAGATGATCTCCTGTCCCCACGTGCACATGGTGTGGAGCAGTGTTTGGCTTAGCACAGAGGCGTCATTCTCAATAACCTTGGTTTGTTTGTTTTGATTGTTTTATTTTCTGCCCCTGCGGGGTAACTGCCAGATTTAGATGATCCTCTGTCGGGGCTCTTGTCTGATGAGGAGCAGGATGCTCCCAAGAAGCCAACTCTGACAGGTGCTGAAAGCATCCCTGAGAAGCAAGGAAAACAGAGCAAGGAGCAAGGTGAGCAGGGTTGCTTGATGCATCCTCTTTGTATTAAATGAATCAGCAGCCTGGATGAGTTTGTGTGATGTCCAAAGGTTAAAGGAAAGCCAGCTAGTGGCATCTCTTGTTAACCAACAAGTGGCCCTTTAGGGAGCAGCTTCGTAGCAGGGTTACAGGTGGTAACAGCTCCCCGAGTGCTCAATATTTGCAGTGTGCTAGAGGTTACAGAACTGACTTTTCCTTTCTGGGACTGGAGTCTCAGATCTTCCCTTGGACCTCATCCAGCCTGTTCTGCACACTGCCAGAGGAGAACCAGTGTTCTGGGTCAGGATTTGGGTGGCTGAGGGCATTGCTGATGCACCCCAAAGCACAGTTGCACCTCTGGGTGGGATTGAGCTGCAGTGTGACCGTGTTACAGGCACTCGTGTCTCCTGTTGCTGCAGCAGGGATGCCAGTGGGTCTGGTAGTCCCCTCAAACCTCCTTTCACCCTGAAAAATCTTCTCTGGAAGAGAGTAGCTGCTGGTGGGTTGGGGCAAGGACTAAGGTGCATTGGTGGAAGAGGGACTTGGGGCAAAGGCGGGGAGGAATTATCTGAGTGGAAACTTGCAAAGCTGAAGAAACTGCTGGTGTCCCCCAGAGCTGGAAGCCTCAGTGACACCCAGCAATGTCCCATCAGTGGCCACGGACCAGGCGGTAGTTTGTCACTTGCTGTGAGATTTGGTCACTGAAAAGAGCTATTTAAAAGTGACTCTGTAAACGGTCCTGAGAGTTGAGAGCAGTCAGGGCTGCTCTGATCTCTTGCTGGGGGGGAGAAAAGAAGAAAAAAGAAAAAAAAAAAGGGAGACAAGCCCCCAAGTCTAGCTCAAAACCTCTTACCATGTGGGATTCTCTCCCTCACCCCCCCAGAGCCACGTGCAGCCCAGACGCCTCTGCGCACCACGGCCCCAACGTGGAGGAGGAAGGAGATCACCTTTGACGAGGACATCACCGACCTGATGGATGCCATGGGACTTGGCAGCAGCCCGGGAAGAGATGGCAAGAAGGCAGAAGAGTAAGGGCAGTGAAGGGGGGCGGGAATAAAGGAGGGGATGGCTTGTGTGTTGAGATGGTGCCACCATGGTGGGTGGGGGATGCTGAGCTTGTGCCTGTGGGTCTGCGTAAGGGGCAGGAGCAGCCTTGTGTGGCAGAGAAGAGCCAGAGCAGGCTGGCAAGGCTGCGTGAGGAGGAAGAGCCCTGCCTCTGGGAGAAACCCATCTGCCGCTGTGTCCCCAGCAGAGAGGAGGTCCGGCCAGCCCGCGCCGTGCTGGACGAGTTGCTGGGACGAGGCTCCGTGTCCAGAATCCTGGAAGAGCCAGGCCTGGGAGAGCGCCGGGAGGTCACACAGAAGTACCCCCAAAAGCAGCCGGGTGAGCAGAGCCAGGGATGCTGGGAAGGGCTGCAGAGGTGGCAGCACTGGCTTGGGCAAGCGAGCTTGATTTCTACTGCCCTTGCAGGGGAAATGCCCTTTGTGCCCTTGAGGCAGCTTGGCAGCATTTGCACAGGGTCTGTAACTCGGCTGCCTTTGGCCGTGAGCTGAGTCCCAACAAAAGTTTTCCCCAGCTGTGCTGAGGAGACCCCTTGCTGTCCGGTTTCTGGGCACGAGGTTTCCAGCGGTGTTTTCCCAGAGGCAGCAACATCAGTGGGAATTGCAGGGCGGGAGGAGGAGGAGGGCTGGAGTCTTTGCAGCCGGCTGCTCCTCTGGGTGCTGAGTCAAGGCCACTTGTCTGAACAGAGAAGGAAGAGGGTTGGCGCAAGGAGGATTATGTGTTTGGAGCTTACCAGCCCTCAGTGGCCTCTACAGCCAAGGGCCAGCCGGCAAGAAGGCAGCCTGTGAGGTATTGTGCCGTCTGCGTCTGGAGTTCCAGGCACCGGCCATGCTGCCCCTGCAGTGGAGCGGGCAGGGTTCCCGGTGTCCCCTCGCAGGCAGGGATGCAGCTGCTTCTCCTCACAGCAGGTTTTCAGCCGAGAAGAGCAGTGAAGTTAAAGCAGAGCCCCTCTCCAAAGCTCCCCCGTTAGCCAGCCGGAGGCCCATGCAGGGCCGCAGGAATCGAGGTGACTGGCTGGGCTTGAAAGATGAAGACGTTCTGGATTTGGAGCTGTCATCTCCACCGAAGGCCAATCCTGCAACAGCTGGGCGGCCTGCCCCTGCCAGACAGCTCCCAGCTGGAGAGGAGGCAGCTGCTAAACCTGCCCCGGTGGAGGAGGAGGAGGACTGGCTGAGCGCTGCCTTATCACGCAAAAAAGCCCAAGCGCAGGCGAAGGCCCAGCAGAGGAGCGCCAAGCCCTCGGAAGCCCCAGTTGAAGGGCTGAATCGCTGCTCTCCTGTCAGGTAAAGGCATGGTTGATTGCCGCAGCGCTCCCGTCTGCTCTGCATGTGACTGTCCAGCAGGAGCTCTCAGAAACCCTGGGCTCCGATCTGAGAAATTAATTTGAAGCACTGTCTTGTCTCAGGTTGGGGTAATTATGTGGGGCTGTGTCCCAGTGATCCAGCCCGCAGTGCCCTCACAGCTCTGGGCTCTCCTTGCAGTTGTAGCCAAGAGGGCACACAGTGCTGTGAGGAGTTCCGCAGAGCTGTCCTGGATCAGCACACCCCCAGGAGCTCCTCCCCGTGCTTCTGGTTCCTGCATTCATTGCCCTTCCTCCTCGTTGAGGCAAAGCCTCTCCTCCAGCTGAGTTGGCACGGACCCAGGTCCAGACTTGTGCCACTGAAGGGGAGTGGGAAGCGAATTTCAGACAGAGAGTCCCATGGTGTGAGCAGGGCTCTGTTAGGTGGGGCTGCTGCTGCCCAGGGGAAGGGGGTAGATGCATCAAGGAGGAGCAGCGTCGAGGGAGGTTTTGAGGTGTCTTTGTTCCCCCTGCAGCCCAGAGGCTGAATCCTGGCACAGCTGAGTGGGACAGAGGCTTTCCCCTGACAGGCAGGAGCTGGCGTTGCGGGGGGGGAAAGGATCTTGTCTTTCCTCGCCTCCTTGGCTCTCCCACGTAGGATGCTTTTTGCTTGCAGCCAGTCAGCAGCCTCCCCAGGAGCACGGCCACAGGCAGCCACCGTGCAGGCCGAGACAGTGAGCACAGACAGCTCCAGGTAAGGCTGCCTTCGCCTTTCAGGCGTCCTCCATGGGAGGGATGTCCTGCAGAAAGCAGCTGTGTGTGGGAGATGGGGCAATGGGGAGGGCTGGTACCCAGCGGGGGGATCACAGTGCCCTGGCACCTCTGTAAGCGGGAGGGCAGGTGGCTCTGAAGTTTAAAAACTCCAAGCAGTGCTGAGCAGGAGAATGTCTGGGCGCCTCTCCCTGATGCACTGCTGTGCATCACCCGTGTCTCTGTGCCCACGCAGGCCACCGCTCCCCTGGCTCAGCACCGCTGAACAAGGCTCAGCTCAGCCGTCGGAGGCAGCACAGTGGGATCCCTCCAGAGATGCCAGCGCCCCAGGTGCGTTTTGTGTGGTTGTAGAGTTTGGGCAGCAGAATGCAGAGAGGGCCCCTCCTGGCCCTGCAAGAACAACCAGCCACAAAAAGGCCAGAGCCGCAGCATCGCCCTTGTCCATGTGAGCGCTGCCCGGGCTTTACCCAGCCGTTTCTGGAGGGGGCTGCCAGGCTGCAGGATGCCACCATGCCTGTGTTGTGGCGTGGTGGGGACACGGTGCTGGGGCACACTGAGCTCCACAGTGCTGCCTGTGGGGTTTCAGAGGGCTGCTGGGGACTTGCTCTCTCTCAGAAATGGGTGAACCTAAGTTCATGCTGTCCCTTCTCTCTCCCTCTTCCCTCCTGCTGCCCCAACCCTCGTGCCACTAGCGCTGTGTGCTGGCAGGCCCCCTCCTGCCCTGGGCTGAGGCTGAGCACCACTCGAGAGGCCACTGAAAGTGGCTGAGGGGACCCAGCCTCCTCCCTAGTTGATGGAGATGGAGGAGGAGCTGTGCTTTTCCCCCAGACTTACTCTGCAGAGCAGAGTCCCCACCATTGTGCGTGGGGTGGGGTAGGAATGCGGGTCTGGATGAGCCTATCTGAGCCTCTGTCCCCATCCCCAGCTGCCAGAGTGTAGCAGGACCGTTCTCGCTCTGCCAAGGAGACCCATGCCCTCATCCTTGTGGGAGGTAGTGGTTGCCCTTGGCCTGTCTGAGTCACAGACTTGTTCCCTTTTCAGTCCCTACAGCCTTGTTCCCGGGAGAGCAGGAGACACAGGGCCCTGCCCCGCTGGCTCAGGTAGGTGTGCCGGGCCTGTGCCCCCGCGAGGTGCAGGATCAGGGTGGTGATCATGAGCCCTCCCCTGCCAACTCAGGGTCTCCCAGCCCTGTCTGTGCTCCCTGGGCAGGAGGATGGCTGTGCCCTGCTTTGCATCCCTGGGAGCCTGTGTTGATGCAGGCCAAGGCTTCGGAGAGCCCCGAGATGCCAGGAGTTGTATTTGTGAGGCCAAAGAGTGTGTGCTGTGGCTGCTTTGTAAATCATGTGCATTGCAGCCCTGCATTGCCTGCACAGTGTTGAGAGTTCCCCAGGCACAGGCTGGGCAGAGCTGCCTACGGGGCACGTGCCTGCCTTTAGGGGCTGATGGCCACAGCACAAAGCCCTGGATGCTGAAGGGCCTGTGTCTTTTATCTGTGTCCCTGTAGGCAGAGTCTCCAGGCCTGGGCTTGCTGCATGAGAGGAAGCTGGGGGCTCCCGCGGCCCAGCTCCATGAGGGCTGTCGGGCAGCGCTGTTCCGTGCCCAGGCCCGTGTAGCGGAGTTGGAGAGCCAGGTGAGCCCCATGGCCTGCTGGATAGGGGAGCAGGAGCCACGCCTGCTCCCAGTGGCATCAGGGGCACAGGCAGAGTGGAGGAAGCTGCCTGTCCAGAGAAGGCTGCGGCCAGCAAGTGCTGCTGTGGGAGCTCTGTCCCTTGGGCAGTACAAGGACCTTCTCCCTGGGTGCCCGGCAGGTGCAGACATTGGAGCTGGCATGGGCTCAGGACAAACTCTTGTTGGAGATCCTCCGGCAGCGGCACCAGGAGGACCTGGAACTCCTCGACAGCACCCACAGGTACCCACAGGCGAGAGCACGTGCTCCCTTCCTTTGAAAGGGCCTTGCCTACAGCCCTGTCCCTCTCCCCGGGGGCGGGGAGCACTGGGGCGCTGCCCAGATCCGTCCCTGGGGCAGGCAGGCCCACATCTGTGTGGGTGTGGAGCTGGTGTGGGCAGAGAGGAGCCCCACAGATGAGCCAAGGGCAGGGTTTGCTCTCACCCACCCTGTCCTGTGGGGCAGAAGGAGGAGGAGTTGTTCCCAGGGCCAGCATGTCCCCAGGCAGGGCTCAGGCTGCGGAGAGCCACGTGTTTCCCCGCACCCCCAGCGCTGCCGCTTGGCTCTGAAATCCCCGTGTGAGCTGTGGGTAGAGAGGGCCAACTGCTGCCCTGAAGGTTCTTCCTACCTGAAGGTAACACTTCTTCTTCCTGCGGGCAGGAGCCAGGTGAAGATGTTAGAGGAGACCTGCAGGCAGCGAGAGCAGAGGCTGCGGCAGGAGAAGGAGCAGCTGGTGGCTCAGCTCCTGGGGCAGAGGCAGGAGGCGGAGCAGGAGCGGGCAGAGCTGCTGGCGCAGCACTTGGCCGAGCTGGAGCGGCTGCGAGAGCTGCAGAGGTGAGAGTGGCAGGTGTGGGGCCGGTGCTGCTGGTTGTGGCAGAGGAATTGGGGAGTGGTTTGGGGCCATGGTGACAGGAGCCTCCAGAAGCAGTTGGGCGGCGTTTGGAATGGGGATTTGCTTTGTGGCCAGATAGAGGGAGATGTGGCTGGAGACGTCCTTTCCGAGTAAATGCATTGTATTGTGCGAGATGCTAAGCCCAGTGTTTTATCTCCCACAACCCCCTTTTATCCCGGTCAGTGAGTCGTTGCTGCCCACACACTGGGGGTCAATGAGAAATCAGTTTCTAGTGGAGAAGCCCGTCCCCCCAAGCTGTGGTCCGTGCCCAGTGCAGATGCCTGTCAGTGGATGCCCTGAGACAGAGCCCCGTGCCAGCTCAGCTCCTGGGACCTGGTTCCCAGGCCCTTGACCAAGCCTCGTCCCCACTGCCTGTCCTGGGGAGCCCCAGTTTGTAACAGCCCGTGGTGGGCTCCTTGCCTGTGTCCTGCAGGGTGTCTGTGCGGGAGCTGCGCAGAGAGCACGAGCAGCAGCTCCAGCAGCTGAAGTGTCTGAAGGACCAGGAGATTGAGGCGGTGATCAGCGCCACTTCGCACACCAGGTACCGATGGCTGCCATTGTGTTCCTGCGTTGGTCCCTGGCCACGGTGTTCCCTGTGCTCCAGGGAAGCAGCCTTGGACCGTGGCACCAGAGGCCACCCCCTCTCCCAGCCCCTGCCTCCAGGGACACTGAGCTCTGCTGATGCAGGGATACTGCTCTACTCTGCCCCAGAAGGGTTCAGGGCAGGGCTGCCCAGCCCTTGGCTCACCACACGTCCCCCTCTCCATCGTGGGGAGATGAGGTGTGTCCCCCTGGGGTGACCCTCCCCTCGCTGCTCTCTGCAGGACTCTGAACGGTGTCGTGGATCAGATGGAGAAGTTCTACGGCACCCTGTGTGACGTTTTACAGAAGGTGGAGGCCACACAGCAGACAACCTCCCAGGAGGTGGCCATGGGGGCACAGAAGCAGAAGTATCTCAAGGGTATGTCTGCCATTCCTCTGCGCCAAAATGGCCACGGGGTCCCCACCGGGGCTGGGGACACCTATGAAATGGGGAGAAGGTGCTCCGAGTCAGTCAGAGGCCTGGATCCAAGGCTGGCAGAGCCTTGCCTGCCTCGGTCACTGGGCTTCTCAGGGTCTTTCCTTTCCAACATGGTGTCCTGGGGGATGTGCAGAAGGTGCTGAGCACAAGTGCGTGCAGTTTTTCTGTGAATATGGGGTAGACAGAGTGGGGCTTGCCTCTTCATGCTGCTCACGGCCCCACTGCTGCCTCTCCCCAGAGCTCCAGGACAGCCTCTGTCAGCAGCAGAGGGAGGCGGAGGAGGATGGGTGCCAGTTCCAGGAGATGGTGGCTAAACTGGAGGCCAGGCTGGATGAGCAGACCCGGCTGCTGGAGGTGAGCCCGCCCTGTGCCCTCTGCCCAGCTCAGCCCTCCTGTTTGGGGATGGGCCATGGGTCTTGCCCACTGGCGGTCCCTGGGCTGGAGCCTGCGAGTGTCATCTGTGTCTCCTCTGTGTCTGAACCCAGGAGCACCAGAGGTTGCTGGCGGAGCGCTCCAAAGTGGAATCGCTGGAGGAGGAGAAACAAGCGATGACGCAGCAGCTCTTGGAGCGAGTGGAGCTGGAGAAGGCGAAGGTGAGGTGGGGCGGAGATTTCCACGTGCTTTTCTCAGGTCCTGTGAGTCTGAGCAGGGCTGCGCTGCGGCATGTGGTGGAGGAAAGAGCTGGGTGCTGGGCTGCAGCGTCCTTCCTCTGCCGCCTCAATCCCACACCCAGTTGTGTGGTGAATCGCCCTCAGATCAAGCCTCTGGCACACGGGTACAAGAGGCTGCTGTGTGTGTGCAGCCTCTTGCACGGAGGAGCGTGGGGCCAGAGCTTTCCATGCAGGGTTCCTGCCAGGCGCCGGGGGCTTGAAGCAACCTCTGGGTGTTGGCCGAGGTTCAGTGGCAGAGATGGGTTTAAAGGAGAAAAATGTTCCAGCAACTGGGACTTAGTGCTTCCTCTCTTCCTCTCTGGCGACGTCTCCAGAGCGTGTTGCTGGAGGAGCAGCTGGCGGTGACGTGGCAGCACGCGGGGGAGCTGCAGAAGCTGGCGGCTGAGCGGGCTGAATTTGACGCCCAGCAGCAGCCACTGAGAAAGGAGCAGGACACGGCCCGAGCGCCGCCCATGGCCTCCCAGGGAGAGGGCCCCGTGAGGAGCCTGGCCAAGGTACCGCAGCAGAGCCCCAGCCCATGGCCTCTAGCACCCGCTTGGCAGGCTGCCGGGTGGGTCCTGCCTATAGGGGAGTCGTTGAGTTGTTGGAGGCAGAGACATCGCTTGGGGTGGTGAGAATGAGGCTGTTCCGGGAAGAGCCCCAGGCTGGGGGGTGAGGGTGCTGCTGGAGTAGCTAGTGGAGTTGCTCTGCACCCCAGACTGGCACACACGAGAAGCTCATCAGGGGCAGATGTTTCCCATCTCTTGGAGAGACACGAGAGAGCATCCAGGACGGATCAGGTCATGAGCTGGTTTCCCCTGTGCCCATCCTAGGAGTGGGCCAAGGTGAAGTTGTGGGACCACACACTGAGAGCCCAGGAGGAGCAGCTGGCGAGGGAGAAAGAGCTGCAGGACAAGCTTTGTCAGGAGCTGAAGGCAGAGAGGGAGAATGTGAATGAGGCTGCACTGCGCGTCCGGCTGCAGGAGGAGGAGATGAAAAGAACGACCAAGGTAAGGGGAGCATCTGCGCTGCCGTTGCCGGCGGCACACGGGCTGGCAGCAAAGCTGGGCTTCCACTGCCCTCCGAGAGCAAGGAGGGAAAGCCTGTCCAGGAAGGGGAAGGAGGGGATGCCTAAAGGAGTCCTGCTGGGCCCAGGGCAGCAAGGGTCCCTGTCCCCATCCTCCCCAGCCGCTCTGCCTTGCAGCTCTCCTCCCAGAAGTACGAGGAAGGGCAGCGAGCCCTGCAGGAGGCACGCAGGGTCGAGTCGCAGGACCAGTCCAGACTGCAGGCCCTGCAGTGGCAGTTGGAGCAGTTCAGGCAGCAGAAAGAGTGTCTGCACCAGGCAAGTACACCCTCGGCTTCCCTTCTGTGCCTGGGGCTGCCGTGCCAAGGGCCCGAACCTTTGCCAACATCTCTCCCTTTCTCCCCGGGACGGGACAGGGTCGGCTGAGCATGGCTAAGCAGATGAGCCAACTTCAACAGCTGCGCCAGGAGCTGTCCAACCACCCCACGATGGTGCGGACAGCAAAGCAGGACTCCAGTGCCCCTCTGACAGGCTCCTCCAGTGTGCCGGGTAAGGCTTTGTGCTTGCTGCTGGTGGGGAGGGACGTGCTGGGGGCAGCTGCACTTGTATTCCCATTCTTGGGAGGCTTGGGCTGTTCCTGGGGGCTGTTTTAGTTGCCCTGCGTATCAACCTCAGACGGGAGGAGTTGGCCTCCTCGTCTCGCGAAGCTCTGAACCAGGGCAGTGCCAGGTGAGGGCAGAGGGGCCAGGAAGGGAGAGGCTGGTGGGTTAATGCCCGTTTGCCCTGGGAGCGTGGGGAGGACCCTGCTGCAGGGACCCGCAGGCAGCACCCGAAGGGATGCTGTGTTGTCTCCATCTGCGGATCCTCTGATGGTGGCAGCATCACACAGTCGGGCTTCTGTTCCATAGGGAGCCTGGGAGGTGTCGAGGAACTCCAGGCCGCTGTCGAGAAACTCGTGGCCAGTGCCAGCTCTGCCGAGTTTAGTGCCACAGTGGCGATGATGAAGTACCGGGTCCTGCAGGTGAGGTGGTGGGCGACTGGGGTGGGAAGGGGCTTCAGACGTGCTGGGTGGGAGCAGGGCTGGGTGAAACCTGATTTGAGCCTGGTAGGAGACAGCCCAGGCTGTGGCTAAGATCATTACTGAGCTGTGGGGCTGGGCGGGCTTGTAGAAGACCCGGGCACCTAGAGGAGTGATGGCAGAAGCACGGACGGGTGGATCCTCGCAGCTGGTCTCAGGCTGGCGGACAAGGTCCTCAGCACTGTGGGGTTGCACTTGTCCTCGCCGTGTCCCTGGCTGAGAGAAGCCAGCTGGCCTCCGGCTTCATGATGTCCCTGTCCTCTCCTGTCGGCTCCCCGATTGCCTGCTGGGTCCTTCCCCAGGCGGGGCTGCTCTTTGAGGCTTCCGCTGTGGGTCTTGCTCAGAGCGTGAGGTTGTGGGCTCGGGGCGGGGGGAGCCCCCACACCCCAGGGGGTGCCACGGATGGTACCTGCCCACTGCTGACTGCAGGAGGGAGGGTTTGGGATGCTTCCCTCCCTCCTGAGTGACACCCAGGACTGTCAGCCCCCTTCTGTGGCACCCTCTGATACCTCTTACATCCACCCCTCTCTTTTCTCTTCCCTTCCCCTTTGCCCCGTTCCCCTCTCAGAACCGTGCTTACTTAGACAAGGAGCAGCTCTTCCTGGAGTCCCTGAAGAAAGTGCCCTACAACACTGCTTCTGTGCGAGGCTGAAGTGGTGATGCCCCTTCGGTTCCCTTCCAGGACACTCAAAAGTTAGTTTCATTGCCACATTAATTAATCGGTTGTTTGCTGTGCCAGGTTGTCCACTATTTCATCGTCAGCACAATCCCAGACCTTCTCTTTATGTTCCAGGGTGTTCCTCTTCTTTTCTAGGGTTTGGAGATCAAAGTCTATCCTTGATGAATTTCTCATCACTAGTGCCAGGTTATCTTGACCATGCTTTAAAGTCCCACTTGCCTGAGCTTCCCACCCTCATACTTGTTCCCATGGGGGCGGTACCTGTAGCCACTGGCATGATCCTTAACCACGGCTACGGCTACGAGCAGATGTGAAGTGGCCTGTGTCAAGAGCCACAGTTTGTTTGGCCTCCATTTCTCTTGCCAGTCAGAGAGGGACCTGCGGTTGTTGACTGCCAGCCGCCAAGGAAAGTGGCTGAGCAGGAGCTCCTGGATGCCGCTGAACGTGTGCCGCTCCTCCACAGCCAGGGAGTTTGCTTTGCTCAGACAGACATGGTTTTGCTCTAGAGATTCACAGAGCAAGAACAAATAGTAATTCCAAACTGAGATAGAAGATATTACTAATGCAGCAAAAGATGCTGAAAAAGAGCAAAGGCGGCAATCACACATGTGAGAATGTTAATGTGTTTTTCTCTTTGGATTTCCAGGGCTTCCCAGCTCCATTGCTGCAGATTTAATGTAAATACTCTTGTCACAAGTTGGACAAAGAAACACTCTGTGGGCCTGGTTGAAGAGGCTACATGTTGGAGGAGGATTAGAACAACACAGAACTTTCCTGCAGTTGCATGAGTTATTGGGGCTGTTGTCGTCATAATGAACTAAACCCCCATCACTTTCATCACTGCTGCATGAAAATGTAAAAGAGAATAAAATCCTCCAGTACTGTAACCAGTCGTGTCTAACGTATTTAAATAATTATCTCTTCAAAATCCTATTTAAGAATGTTTCAAATGGAATTGTGAATTTCCATTCAAAATTGGTGCTATATCCTCCTGTGCAAGGCCAGTGAAGCTCAGCCAGGCACTAGGGCTGTTGTCTTGTGGAAGCCAACTGCTACTGACTTGGGATGCACAGGATCAGAGCAAAATCTTAACACTTAAAAACATTATTTGAAGTTAAAATAGAAGGAAAACTTCTCTACTTGCTCATGAAAATTAAAGAAAGATTAGATCATTTGTATTCTGTTTGAATAAAATAGGGCATTATGGTGAATTTTGTGTATATATCTGTGTGTGTGTGCGCATATAGATTTTTCTAATGCCCTTTTTTTTATTCTCACATTTTTCAATTTAGACTTTCTCAGATACTTTGTTCCCAAGGCACTTTGTTGGATTTTCTATTCTTTGTAAGTGATGTCACTCAATATTTCACCAAAACGCTTCATTTGATCATGTAGGAAGGAAATGTTTGAGAGCAAAATAGATCCTAGATTTGTCTTAAATAGATAGTTTTAAATTATGTTCTGCCTTGTACTACTAGCCATCTAGGCTCTCGTGGCAATAACAGGGCCTGGAGTAAGACACAGCACACAGCCTCCATCACCCTCCACGTGTGCTGTGCCGAGAAGACTTTCAGCTGTGCCATGCCCTGCTCCTAAGCTTCGTAGATAAAGTGCAGGTGAAAATCGAATCCTACAACCGGCTGAGGCCAACTGGAGGAGTTTCACTGAGGCCAGAGGCTGGGTTCTGCATGTGGGCCACAACAACCCCCAGCAGCACTACAGGCTTGGGGAGGAGCGGCTGGAGAGCTGCCAGTCAGAGAGGGACCTGGAGGGGAATTGATAATGAGCCAGCAGTGTGGCCAAGAAGGCCAGTGGCATCCTGGCTTGTGTCAGCACTGGTGTGGCCAGCAGGGACAGGGAAGGGATCTGAGCCCTGTACGCAGCACTGGTGAGGCTGCCCCTCAATGAGTGGGTTCAGTTTTGGGCCCCATCCCTGGAGGGGTTGAAGAGTCGGGCTGACCCAGCACTGAGGGATCTGGTGGGGATGGGAACAGTCAGGGTGAGGTTCATGGTTGGACTGGAGGCGATTCAAGGGCTTTTACAACCCAGATGATTCTGGGATTCTGTGTGAGATCCTGTGTGCCAGACACATGTGATTCACCTGCCCTAGGTTGGGGCGGTTGGTGAAAAGTCCGACCTGTCAAATTCTCCTGGCAGCGCGGAGAACTGCAGTAAGTCCCGAGCACTTGGGCCCCTGTCATCCCTCTTGTGTGTCCTGGTCCCTCCCTGTCTTTCTCCTAGACTCCTCTCTTTCTGGTGTTGCTCAACCTTTTTTGCTCACCTGTATCTTCCGTTTCGCTTGGAGCATCTCCCTGTCCCCATCTTGTAGGTCTTCCCTTCCTCTGCCCTGTACCCTGCCGCTCTTGTTGCCTTTCTCCATCCCTCTCTGTTCAGCTCCCTGTTCCTGTTGATTCCTCTTTCTTCTTCCTGCACCCGCTGCTATTCCCTGCTGTTGGAGAACGGCTTGCAGAGAGCAAGGCCATGGCTCCCTGCAGAAGTCGGTCACAGCCGCCTGAGGTAAACAGAGGAAAAAACCCAGCGTACATTGATGATAGCAAAGACTGTTGTGATAACAAAGAGATAAGTTGGGGCACATTATGACCTTGGGGGTGAGAGGAGAAGGCAGCCCTGGGAGGGAAGCAGGTTCACAGCAAGAAAGATGTTTATGCATACCAGAGGTGCCACAAGGGGCTGGGATATTATAATGTGACCTTTTAGATGTACCCAATGGCTGAGATATTATAATGTAGTTTCTTAAATGTATCCAGTAGAGTTGCAAGTAGTGTATTGTAGATTGCTTATATAAGACTCTGCTTTTCCACCAGACGGAACCCGGGAAGCGGCGGAACGGAAAAGTTTCGGAGCAGGAAGGCGATAAGGTC